CTAAAAGTAAAGTTTTTACTGTGTGACAATACTTATGACCTGACTAGGTATATAGGTGCAATTAGAATATTACGAAATTTAAATTACATTAAAGAATACCATGTCACAAATCAATGACGTCATAAACAATACGCTTCGGATGCCAATTCACAAGTTTTATGCTTTTTGTCACAGTTTTAGTACAGAGTCAGTACCTGTAAATTAATAAATATTTGATAATTATCTGTTTTCAACGACTTTCATTGCTGGAAACAGATATAGGTAGAAAAAAAAACATCAATATAAGTATTATCGACAAGGAACTCGTCAACACTAATGAATCTTATTGTTTATCAAAAATAGGTAATTTAAAGCCAAACATGTTAGTAATTACATAATAAGATCAATGACAAATTTTTAAGAGCCTATATTATCAAATAGTTATAAACTAAATCCCCTTACTTGTGTAATATTATCAAACTTTTCTTCTGGTAACGAATTTTACATTATCATTGTTACTAAAAATACTTTTTTTATACATATTACTAACATGAAACATAATCAAACTACACAACACACACTCTTTTTCTCATTTAGAACTTTAAAAACTCCGATATCTTGAGCAAAACAACGGCCATTTGCAAATTATGTCAACTTAAATTACCGATACACTTAATCGCAGCGCTTCAAATCGGCACAATTTTTCTTTGCGCCCATAGCAAGGCTACCCCCCGGAAGCGGGAGAGGGAGGTGGTGAATGCTCATAGCATACCACGCAGCCGGCTGCGTGGTTATGTGGGACTCACTATGAAGTGCCTACCCACCTAACACCACCTGTGAGGCTTTGGGCTGTATGGCCTTACTGCCGAATCGTAAGCGACCCCTTTTAGAGAAAGGGGGCGCAGGCAGCGAGTAGCCGCTGAGAGGCGCGCCTTACTAAGGCAAATTAAGAATCGGCAGTCCAGCGTAATACTACGAGTGACACGTGTCAATATCATGTTGATTAGTATAATGTGAAATAATATTGAAATATCTACCTGTTCGTCATCATCATTATAGCTATTCACAAATCCATCGCTGAACATGTGCTTGCAGAGGAAACGCCCCAAAACACCTATGAATCATGATTCTACCATACTTCTTACTGGTATACCAGCTGAGGACGTACATTTCACTTGATGGGAAATACCTACAGTACTGCAGCTTATCGATTTAGAATCAAAAGGCAGATGCGTTATTAACCCTGCGGGCTATGATAGAATGCCTCGTTACCAGTAAAACAGGGTCTCCAATTCTCGCCACTCACCATACGAAACACAGCAGCATTACTCTACTGTTTCACGGTGGTATTCTGTGTGAGACACACATGCTATTGAGTTGAGTAATAAAAAAAATTGTGTGAGTAATTGTCTACCAGTGAACCGGAAAGTTAGTGGGAGATATATATTTATGTGTAATGGTTTCCCGAATACGGAAAACGCTTGTAACGATTTGGATGTGTATTTAGATATTTGTTTTACTTTCCAAGTTTATTATAGTAGATTTCATCCATTATATTCAAAATTAATAAGCACACATGTACAACCTCTTTATTTACGCCACGGCACAGAGATTTATTTAATTTTATTCACACTCACACAACTTGATCGAATTCATCATCAAATTATGACAAAATATGCCAAAACTAATATAGCCATTACCCAATATCTTGAAGCAATATTTATTCTCATTTCTCATTCTTAGTAATCAGTAAATTGTTACTATAAAAATCATGTTATATATTTTAATGAGTTGAGCATGGCTTAAAGAACAAGCATCCAAGTCAAAACATCTTAATTAAAAAAAATTTAATAAGTTATATTCTTGGCGGGAATCGGGAAAATAGAAACTTTGCATTGTTCAATTGTTCATTTCTTTTGTCTTTAGTTTTGTGTCGCTGTCGTATTTGGGATAACATCAAAATAGAGGTAAGAGATATTTAAGTAATTATATTACCAAACTTAAATTATTTAGCGTAGGGTGACAGCGGTTCAACGAGAACCACTGAAGTTGATAATTCATCGCGCTGCTAATAGGTATGAACATTATTAGGTACGATAATGTGTTAAAAATGTAGATAATTATTAATGGCAATAATGGCACGAGAAATTTTTATGCATTATGCGTGCAAACGTGTGTGCATGTAGCATAATGTACTTACATACTTAATAATAGATACCTGAGTAAATTAATTAATATGGTGGATGGAGTAACATGAATATATCAGTTTTTAAAAAAATATAATATAACACAAATATATTAAAATCCTACTTAAATTCTTTAATTGATGTTATGTTAATTCTACTGCAGCTTATCGATTTAGAATCAATAGGCAGATGCATTATTAACCCTGAGGGCTATGATAGAATGCTTCGTTACCAGTAAAACAGGGTCTCCAATTCTCGCCACTCACCATACGAAACACAGCAGCATTACTCTACTGTTTCACGGTGGTATTTTGTGTGAGACAAACACGTGCTATTGAGATGATTAAAAAAAATTTTGTGAGTAATTGTCTACCAGCGAACCGGAAAGTTAGTGGGAGATATATATTTATGTGTAATGGTTTCCCGGATACGGCAAACGCTTGTAACGATTTGGATGTGTATTTAGATATTTGTTTTATTTTCCAAGTTTATTATAGTAGATTTCATCCATTATATTCAAAATTAATAAGCACACATATACAACCTGTTTATTTACGCTACGGCACAGAGATTTATTTAATTTTACTCACACTCACACAACTTGATCGAATTCATCATCAAATTATGACAAAGTATGCCAAAACTAATATAGCCATTACCCAATATCTTGAAGCAATATTTATTCTCATTTCTCATTCTCAGTAATCAGTAAATTGTTACTATAAAAATCATGTTATATATTTTAATGTGTTGAGCATGGCTTAAAGAACATGCATCCAAGTCAAAACATCTTAATTTAAAAAAATTAAAAAGTTACATTCTTGGCGGGAAAATAGAAACTGCATTGTTCATTTCTTTTGTGTCGTGTCGCTGTCGTATTTGGGATAATATCAAAATAGAGGTAAGAGATATTTAAGTAATTATATTAACAAACTTAAATTATTTAGCGTAGGGTGACAGCGGTTCAATGAGTCAACCACTGAAGTGCATAGACTGTTGTATTAAGCGGAAAATTTACCTCGCTGCTAATAGGTATGAATATTATTAGGGACGAAAATGTGTTAAAAATGTAGATAATTATCAATGGCAATAATGGCACGAGAAATTTTTATGCATTATGCGTACAAACGTGTGTGCATGTAGCATAATGTACTTACCTACTTAATAATCGGTACCTGAGTAAATTAATTAATATGGTGGATGGAGTAACATGAAAATTTCTGTGTTTTTTAAAAAGTATAATATAATAATACAAATATATTAAAATCCAACTTTAATTCTTTAATTGATGTTTTGTAAATTCTACTGCGGTTTGGAGGCGGCGTACTGTATCACTATGCATTCCCCCAGTTCGTTACAAGGACAGTCCTAAGAGGCGAACTATATGATTAGCTAGAAAATATACATCGCTTCTCTACATAGTATAAAACAAAGTCGCTTCCCGCCGTCTGTACGCTTAGATCTTTTACAATAGGCAACAGATTTTGATGCGGTTTACATCAATAGACAGAATGATTCAAGAGAGAAGTTTATATGTATAACACATGCATACTATTTATTATAATATAATTCTTCTGTCCGTGTATATGTGAATTTTGTGTGCGTGTGTGAATAAGTTGATTAGAGAATGGTTTAGATTCACAATTGGACCGGGTAGGTGGCGTTGTTGTCGAGATCCAGAAATCGCTCGTCGAGAATATTGTGATAGTAGGCATTTTAATTACACCAGACGCAACATATCCAAACCCGTGAATGCTGTGGCCACAGACTCTACTGACTGAAGAAAGCATGATTGCAAAGTTATCTATTATGCAGATCAAAGTTTGCCCAACTTTCTTTCGCATGTTATGGTTCAGCCTTTATATGTGGCACTCGTAGACACGTAGTCTCACACGTAGGAGTTCTTTGTTGTCGAGGAGATCTATCTACCACTACCAGCCTCTAACTCTTTCTGAGGACGAGCAGCGGTGCGTAGATTATTGTGTTCCAGTCTGCAGGGTACAGAGAGCCAGTATAATGACTCTCTCTGTGAGGCATTCCATCTTAGTCCTCACAGGTGACACCGCACCTGTAGACTTGTTTGTTTGAAGTTGGCTGCACGTGTCCATGGAGTGCAGGAGCCCACAAACCATCAGGTGCACTGTGAGTTAGTTGGTCACCACAGTTTTATAAAAAAATAAATAAATTTGGAAAATCCGAAAGTGCACAGTGCACACCTTGAACGCTCATGTAATGTTTTGAATAATCAATTTACTTTTAATAATTACCGAAACACGTATTTAGTTTAAAGTTACAAAAAACTGTTTCTGTTTAATAAACACGAATTTCTTTTTTGATTGCTTGATTGATACAGTTGATTCGTATTCTGTTACCAAAAAAAAAACCAGTCAAATAATTAATAAAATAATAAAAAATATATTATTGAACGGGACGGTTTACAATAGTGAAATTCAAAAGGCTTAAATCTAAAGCTAAAAAAATCAAAGTGATAAGTTCAGTTTTTCTAAAGATATCTTGTTCACATCGATACCGATCAACTCACATACAAGTGAAATTATCTTCAATTAACTTTTTTTTAATAATATTCGAAATAAATAATCTTATAACTACGTCAGAAGAATTAATTGAAATCTCCTCTTGCTGTTTATTGGTGTACATTTCTATTATATGAGTGCAATATAAAGCTAGTGGAAGTGATTTAAGTTGGTTCGATCGCGATTTTTTGATTTGGTGACAATGGAGCACTACATCTCCGCTTCGCGTTCGATGTGTGCAAACATATGTTGATCAAGAAATATCACCGGTAAATTAAGTATGATTTCTTTTCTAGACATTATGAGCCGGTTGAATTTACGTCAGATACCTCGCATCAGTTACTACGAACCCGAGGAGCCCAGCTTCGACGAATATTTATGTAAGTGAATTCAGATTCAGTGATTCCGATTCAAATTCTAATTACTTAAATAATTGTGTATAGAATGAAACCAGTCCACCGTCGATATCAATATGTGTTCTCGGCATGCGAGGCGAACGTACAAACGGACATACGTACATACGTATAAAAGCCATAGTGTTCGACTCTGGAGACCTTGAAACGTGGGGATATATCAAAATTCGGACTTTGGAAAATCAGGCTGACAACAGCTTCCCAGGGAAGCTTTCATCATAATAAATATTATAATAGGTATTTTTGGATACTGGAAGATTATGATCGCGTTTTCCTCAGTCAACTTTTAGGAGAGCCGTGGTAGCTCAGATGGTTAGCGCTCGCTGTAAATTTCACAAAACGCGAGCAACCCGGGTTCGATCCCCGCCGGCACCAATGAAATTGTTAATTACGTGTTGATTTACCACGTGCTCGGCGGTGAAGGAAAACATCGTGAGGAAACCTGCATGTCTGAGAAATAAGGCAAAAATAATTCGAAGACATGTGAAGTTCGCCAACACGCATTGGAGCAGCGCGGAGGACATTTCCTTGCCCTATAACCCTCTCGGAAATGAGAGGAGACCTGTGCCCAGCAGCGGGACGTATATAGGCTTCAACTTTAACTTTTTAACTTTAACTTTTAGGACACCACAGATACGATGGTTTTTCTGAACTTGAAAGTCAAAAGTACATAAAAGCATTAAAGGGGTTAAGCAACCTCATCATCATCATCTACGAAAACAGCTTCTAGGAGTAATGTTATAATGTGGGTAATGTCACATCCCATGTGTAGTGCCGTGAAGTGGCGGTGTAAGAATATCCACTACTCCATATCATCGAGGTGTACGGTATAAGAGGCGACAGAGGGAAAGTATGTAAAACAGGATATGGGCAGCGTGCAGCAACATCTTCCTGTTAAGAGCTTAAAAAGCTGCCAAGCGTGGCAACCATGGCAAATATCTTGACTTGTTATAGGTTGTGATGATCTCCCAGCCATCTCCTTTACGTCAGATATGAAATCTCTAATCGGGTACAGTCAGCAACGTCTGCCGAACGCAATTAAGGTGAATCTCTTGTACAGTAAGAGATGCTAGCAGACCAGCAGTGAAATTTTACAGACTGATGAGGGAGATATTAGTAATGTACTATTTCTGAGAAAGTTTTGCAAAAGAAGGACCGGACCGATACGACTTAGGGACCTTCAAGAAAAGAGCGTACTCCTTTTTAAAAGGCCGGCAACGCATCTGCAATTTACACTCTGGTGTTGCAGTTGTTCATGGGCGGCGGTAGTTACTTATCATCAGGTGAGCCGCATCCTCGTTTGCCCCCTCTCCTATAAAAAAAATGTGATTAAATTTTTTTTATCATTCATACATACAAGTTATGAAAAGTTACGTAAAATCCTAAAAATGTAACCATACTTTACTGTACACTGAACAGTACGTTCGTATACACAAACACACACACACACACACACACACACGCGCGCGCGCACACACACACACACACGCGCGCGCGCGCACACGCACACACACACACACACACACACACACATTCACGCACACATACACATATAAATACACGCGGTCGCTTGCGCCTAGAGAATGAAAGAGAAAAATTATACAAAACCAAGTCAATTCCAGCTCAATAGCTGTACGGTGTACGGACCTGGAACGTGGAGATATTGAAAGAACAGATGATAGATGCAGGTGGCTCAGGAACGTGCTTTGTGGCATTCCTTGGCATATAGCTCCCATATGTTAAGCAGCGGACTTGTGAAGGGCTGTAATGATGATGATGATTGAAATAACGTTGAAACCTTAGAGTAAGGCCCACATAAGCAAACCTAAGGTTGAAATAACATATCCGTTACGAGTTCTAAATAAGAAATTGTAAACTGAAACAATTTTAATAAAGGCAACATTGATGTTAATAATATATTTTAAAGTTTGCTCGGAGTGCGGCGACTACGTGTACGACTACTGCTCTATACACGGCCCTCTGTTGGTCGTACCGGACAATAAGGTGAGTCCAGTTTGGAGTTCCATGGCGTTGTTTATGTAACGCCGCGTCTAAATGATCTCAATTTTCTTTTTCAATCTTAATAAATGGAATAATTAATAGCCCTGTAAATTTTAAGAGCGCTGCAGTCATATTATGGTTGCAGCACGACTTGTAGAGAATCGGAGCCCCTTTTTACAGGAAACGAGGCATTGCATCTTAGTCCTCAGGGGTGACAACGCATCTGTATTTTGATTCTTAATCGAGGATGGATGTAGATGTATATTGGCCACAGCATCCACTTACCATAACTGATGGACTGTGTGCTCGTTTGTCACCCTTATTCTATTAAAAAAAAAACAGACAACTTTTTGGTTTTATACCTCCAGAAGTAGGACTATATTATGCTGTTATTTTCATTAAATTTTTTCGACGTTTTATTGTAATAAATAGAAGCAGAAGAAATAAATAAACTTTATTTTGATACAAACCATAGACGCAAAACAATATAAATATTGTATATTAATAATATTATATAAATAAAATGTATTTATGAAGACAAACGTTTTCCACTCCAACCAACCTGTAAATAACTTTGCCAGGCAGCTGTATATAAGTTGTAGTTAACGAAGTAATTCAATGGCGGATTCGAATCCGCGACTTTTGAAGCTAATTAAATTATTTTATATATCTAGCATAAATAACCTAACAACTTTTTAAATTCTAATGATTGAGCTTCATCATAGTTACGTTGCATATGAAATGCTGCCGTGGGGGTCGTAAGAGGGAACACAGGGAAACTAAAACTGACAAGGGATAAAATTAAAAACTAAATTTTGTACCACCGACTTGAATGAGAATATCATCAACGCAGTCGAAGTCAATTAAATACGCATTATTAAGGATAACTCTAAAACTACTTGTTAGATCTTGATCAAATTTATATGGGACCACATGATGGCACCAGCTTTCAAATAAAAAAAAACAATCATCAAAATCAATACATACAAAAATATAGTCGAATTGACTACCTCCTCCTTTTTAGGGTTCCGTACCGTAAAAGGAAAGAACGTAACCCTTATAGGATCACTTTGTTGTCCGTCTGTCTGTCTGTCTGTCTGTCAGTCAAGACCCTTTTTCTCAGGAACGAAAAAAATCTACTGTCCCTTGGAGCTGTGAAAAAATAAAACTCCTAAGCCAACGCAATCAAAAGATACAGCCGTTTATGCCGCAAATATTATGCCGCAAGGGAATCAAAACCTACAGGGTACTTCCCGTGAAATCAGAATCTTAAAATTTGGTACGAAGTAACGTATTATAGCACAGATAAAGGAATAATTGCGAAACGCATAAATTTTTAGTTACGTCATATAATAAAAATATTTTTAATAATTTTAACCTACGGATTTGTTCGGAACCCTCAGTGCGCGAGTCCGCCTCGCATTTGGCTGGTTTTTTTAAAGTCTGTTGAAAATGGGCAGCAGCATCTTCTCGATAAAAACAAAAAGTATGAAATATCTGTGGTAGCCACTTCAGGTTACTTTCGAAGCATGGCAACTATGGCAAAATCCCCCATATGATGTAATCTATGATACGCTACAATGATAATGATGATGATATCTGTTATTGCTAGACGCAAGTGTCTTCTCCATCAAGCACAATTTGTTGTAGTTTCCAAGACAATAGATTACAATAGACTTCATGAGAAGTTAGGTACTTATATAGTATATTCTCATAAGCGGCAGCTATGATGACGCTGAATCATTTTAATGATTGTTAGATTAATTATGCTTTATAAAATAATTAAATTAACTTCAAAAGTCGTACATTTGAGTAGATACGTGTAGAGTAACGCTGCAACTATATTATGGTTGCAACACGAATGTGTCGTCTCGACCGGGGAAGGATCACGCTTTCATAGAATAACCAGCTTAATGCTGCTGTCTTTCGTATGGCGAGTGTAGAGAACCGGAGCTCCTTTTAAGCTGGAAACGACGCATCCCATCTTAGTCCTCAGTGACGACAATCCATTCGATTTAATCTAGCCCGTGGTTGATGAGTCGGTCTCTACATTACCGCTGTGGATCCTATAAAGGCACTTATAGACGCGGGGTTATCGTCGCCGTCTATGTATAGCCATAGGATGGATAGGTCCCTGCCTTCAGGACTACCGAGGCCACGGGAACTAATGTGACCGATGCGGCCAGAGGACCTCCGATGTGGTGCTTGCTTAGAGCGCTGTCGACATTTAATCCGCCTCTGGCCCGTAAAATTACAGGCTGTAAGGCATTCCATCTTAGTCCTCAGATGTTACCACACATCTGAAGATTTCGTTGTTTGAAATTGGCTGCAGGTGTCCATGGACTGAACTAGCCACTTACCAAGTTTGTTTGTTACTCCAGTTTTATAAAAAAAGGTAAGTACGTCAGTAAAGTAAGTTATATACATATTACTAGCTGGCCAGGCAGCCGTTGTTCTGCGCTCTCCATCGACCCTGTATCCTATAAAAATTCTTAAATTCGCAATAAAAAATATTGAGGGTCACTTATAGGGATAAAAACTATCCTATCTCTTAAGTTGAACCAAACTGCACACAGTGTACAAAATTTCATTACAATCAGTTTAGTAGTTTAGAAGTTCATCGCGGACAAATAATGTGACACGTAATGTTAAAATATTATCCTATTATATAATGAGCTATGTAGGGGCACCATTATTGTCAAATTAGGCGACTAGCGATTCCACGAATAGGTTGTGTTTTAATTTATATCGCCGTCATGTGTTCCACTTTCCATTTATTTAGTAATTAATAATTAAACTATAGGTCCCAAAGAAAACCAAACTTCCATCCTATGTTCCTCGAGCAGCCCTCACGATCCCAAACGTGTTCCTGCACCTCGCTCCCTCGATTATTCCAGGTTTGAGAGCACTTTTAAATATTTTTATAATATAGATTACAAGTGAACTTTTTAAAAATTACGTGTGTATTGAACATTTTAATATAATGCGTTTTTTTCCATATTTTTACATTGTCATCCGATTCTAAGCTTTTAAAATTTCAAGTCTCTAGCTTATCGGGAAATTAGTGGGTATAAAATCAATTACTAAATACATGAAAGCGAGTTAATAGTCCAAGTTACCAGGGTTACCAGACGTCACTTAGTTTTTGACGAACGAAATGTGTAAGATTGAGTAGTGTTAGTATGCTCGGTCTTGCTTGGTCAGACGGCCATATTCCAGGTATCAGGTAATCAAGGTAGGTACTAGATACATTACTCACCTCACGTTAATCCTTGCAGTTGATTTTTACGTATATGTTAGATAATGTCGTTAAAAATCAGTCATCAATACTCCCACACTTTCCGTCGGCAGTATCGGTTTGCAGACGCTTTAAAGCTTTCAAAAAAATTACTCAATTTTACTTACATTCTCAAGCTCCATTTTTTATATAATATGTTAGCCAGAATGACAGAGTGAGAAATTGTTTAATAAGAGAAGAGTGTGGTTTGCAAGATGATGTTGTGACCAGGATTAAGAAAGGAATGCTTCGGTGGTTTGGCCATGTAGAAAGAATGAATGAGGAAAGAGTGACAAAGCAAATTTATGTTGCAGAGGTGAACGTATAGTCGGGAAGGGTCGCCCTAGGCGAAAGTTTATCGACCAAATTGGCGATATATTAAAAATGGGCCATATCAAGAGTACCTTTAACCGACGAGCGTGTATGCGTAGGTATATGGATGTGGAGGAAGCGAGAGAGGTGTGTCTGGATCGTGCCAAATGGAAGTCCATAATCTCTGCCTACCCCTCTGGGTAACAGGCGTAAGTGTTTATGTTTTTTTTTTATGTTAGCCAGACAACTATTTTACAACGTTATACAAGAAGGCAGACCGATCCAAGGGTCAATCATGCCCTAGACCCAATTTTAATGCCTCTGTGGGTATAAGCGCGAGGGCATTATCCGCGCGCATGAGCGTGAGTGAGAGATGTATTATATTGACCTCTCTCTCTATCTCATATCAATTAATTATTAATAGTTAAAGAAATCACAAACCAAATGTCCCATTAGGCGCCTTTTGCGACATGCTAGGAAACTAACACGACTTATTTTATTTTTGTAAGTCCCATATACCTATCTATGGGATCTACAAGTCCCGGACAACGTGGTAAAGTTTAGCACTTTACCAAAAAGCAAGTTGGTGGAAGCCCTCCTCTAATTAGACATTCATTACGACTCGTACGGGGCAGTTCCCTGTCACAAAAGCATTATCGTTTTGTCGCTGAAAATGTAACTCATCTGTATAATAATAATAATGACCTCAAAAAGTACGCAACGTTGCGTCGCAGCCGTATGTTGTGTTGTGTCACAGCTTAAAGAGCTTACCGTTGGGAAACGAATCTACTTTTGCAGAGCAACAACAAACAACAACTTACTACATCATGCAAAACATGACGATATATCGATATATCGATATTTATCACGCGATAATTATCGATACTGTTTAAAAGTATCGATATATTTTTTCATATTTAATGGAAGAAATAACAAATATTTAGGAGCTGGTCTAGGAGTGTTCGCAACTTTAACCCTACCCGCCGGTGTCCGTTTCGGACCGTATCGCGGCGAAATCACAAAAGAAATCGTTTCGATGTACTGTTGGCAGGTAAGACATTTTAAATTTGTCATTTAAATACACAGAACACAAACATTATCATTCATCATCATCATTACAGCCCTCCACAAGTCCACTACTGAGCACAGGCCTCTCCCAAGGAATTCCTCATAACATGGTCCTGAGCCACCTCCACTTCATGCATGTCTTACCAGGTCGTCACTGTATCTAGTGGGGGGTATCACCCTACACTTCGTCTGCCGGTACGAGGCCGTCACTCGAGAACTTCTTCCCCATCGGTTGTCGGTTCTTCGAGCTATATGGCCGGCCCATTGCCACTTCAGTTTACTATACTTATATTATATGACACAAATGCTGCAGAAGCCCATAAACAAAGTAATTAAATTGTCAGTTATCAGGTCTGTAGGTGTAATAACTATCACCAACTTTTCATTAAAAAAAGACTATAATAAGCTAAGATTGTCTCGTTTTACTTGGTAGAACCCTGTGCAGCTATATTATGGTTGTAGGACGAATGGGTCTCCCACAAAATACCAGCGTGAAATAGCTTAATTATGCTGTATTTCGTATGATGACTGTAGAATCGGAGATCTTTATTACTGGATACGAGGCATTCCATCTTAGTTCTCGGGAGTGAGAACGCATACATTCTGATCTATGGGCTACAGCTCCTACTCGCCATCAGGTGGACACAAGTTCCATTAAAAAAAAAACACAGAAACAGTACTTGGGCAAACATCCAGACCTGCAGATCTATAGCCACTGCGCCACTGAGCTGTCAATCTTTGTATCCTTGTATATTTGAAAACACGTGAGAAAAACATCTTCTGTGATTGCTAGGCAAGCCAGTAGCTAGTAGCTAGTAAATCTATACATTACAATATCCTCATTTTCCACCGACTTCAAAAACGAGGAGGTACTCAAATCGACTGTATGTTTATTTATGTGCTATGTTACCTCATAACTTTTTTCTGGGTGAACCGATTTAGATGATTCTATTTTCATTTGAAATCTGGTGCTTCTCATGTGGTCCCATATAAATTTGATCAAGGTCTGTTGAATTTATACTACAGTCGGTTGTACATAATTTTTAATTTTAAATTATGTGAGTCGACTTTCAAACCTTCGAATGGTATTTTAATTTCTTACATAACATTTTGTTTTTTTTTTGCACACAGTCCACCTGATGGTAAGTGGATGCTATGGCCCATAGATCAGAATGTATCTTATCTTCAATTAAGAATCAAAATGCAGATGCGTTGTCACCCGTGAGGACTAAGTGGAATGCCTCGTTTCCAGTAAAAGGGTCTCCGGTTCTGTACATTCACCATGCGAAACACAACTTTATCATTACTTTTAAATATCACCAACTAACACCGGTCTTTGTAACTGTTGGCTTTAGATCTATGATGAAAACAACAAACCAAAACATGTTGTGGACGCGGCGGACGGAGATCGTTCTAATTGGATGCGCTACGTAAATTGCTCTAGGAATTGGAACGAGCAGAATCTACTCGCCTACCAGTACAAGGGTCAAGTTTATTACAGGTTCGGACTTATATCATAGAAAAGTTCTTTACCCAAATCCGCATCCTCATCTTCCAGCAGTTGCTATGCGCGGACCTCAGACCAAAAAAAAATAACATGTGCGTGTCTTTCAGAAAAGTTTTGTGTAATAAATAAAAAGTATCATTTCTTTGGAATAAAATTACTTAGTAATAGCGCCATTTACTTCATTCTGTAGGTACAGTCATTTTATTGAACAAAAATTGATTGACTGTCAAAGTGGTACATAAAATAGACACTAGATGGGCCTAAACACGACAAATTTAATGTAAATTGGTAATCGTGGATTGTTACGAATGGATTGGATATGGTAATGTTATTCGATATGGTTAATTTCACTCACCTTCGATTTGCCGACGATATAGTCCTTATGGCAGAATCGCTGGAGGACCTAAGCAGTATGCTCAATGACCTCAATAGTGTTTCCCAACGGATAGGTCTTAAGATGAACATGGACAAAACAAAGATCATGTTTAATGTCCATGTCACACCTATGCCGGTAGTTGTTGGGAGCACTAAGCTCGAAGTTGTTGACGAGTATGTTTACCTGGGACAAATAGTCCGACTGGGTAAGTCCAACTTCGACCGAGAGGTCAATCGACGGATTCAACTCGGCTGGGCAGTGTTCGGGAAGCTACGACACATCTTCTCGTCAGACATACCTCAAAACCTTAAAACGAAATTGTACAACCAGTGCGTGTTGCCAGTGATGACTTACGGAACTGAGACGTGGTCCTTCACTGCTGGCCGTATGAGGAAGCTCAAGGTCGCTCAGCGAGCTATGGAGAGGGCTATGCTCGGAGTTTCTCTGCGTGATAAACTTAGGAATGAGGATATCCGCAGTAGAACCAGAGTGACCGACATAGCCCAACGGATTAGTAAGCTGAAGTGGCAGTGGGCCGGCCATATAGCTCGAAGAACCGACAACCGATGGGGAAGAAAGGTTGTCGAGTGGCAGCCTCGTACCGGTAGGCGAAGTGTAGGGCGTCCCCCCACGAGATGGAGTGACGACCTGGTAAGACATGCAGGAAGTCGATGGATGCAGGTGGCTCAGGACCGTGTTTTGTGGCATTCTTTGGGGGAGGCCTATGTTCAGCAATGGACTTGTGAAGGGCTGTAATGATGATGATGATGATGGTTAATTTTATTTATTTAATAAATTTGTAAATTTTTAACCGTTTATTTTAACACTTAATAATAATAATAATAAATCTTTAAAGCACCGCACTAACAGGAGACAGAAATAATGGGATACGCTGGATACTGTATTCTATCTCATTCTCTCGCAGGTTAAATTCTATAGATGCTTATTACGTTTGTCGCTTTCTAGTGTAGCTTTTTCCTTTCATCGAGTTTCAAATGACAACGATTCTAAAGAAGCTTTCACTTCAAAAATAAAGACGGAAAATTGCGTACAATTTAACTGACGCGGAAACCGACATAGTTTTAGTTGTATGTGTGTGTGTGTGTGTGCGTGTGTGTTCTCACAATAAGTTATGCATGGTTTCCGCGTCACTTTAACATACGGAATATTCTATCTTTATCCTTGGCGCCAGACACTCGAACCAAGGTTGGACACACGATTTCAAAATATTAGTATAAATTGTGTATGAATATTGCGTATTTATGCAGATTTCCTCTCCAACAAATAAATCAAATCAATACTTTTATTGATTGACCACACATGTGTCAGATGTTTTAGTGTTTGTTATAAAGCCTACAATATGGCTTACATGTGTTACATCAAACGGCAACGCAAAACGACTTGCCAGACTTGCTTGCAAACATTTGGAAGCCCACGCTGCAGCTATATTATGCTTGTAGCACAAATTGATCGGCTCGACCGTGGAAGGACTACGCTCATACAGAATACCAGCGAATCGATCGCTGCACCAAGACATAAATATTGCATTTATGATCATATGACGCTGGTCTGTATATTTTACCTTGGCGTAAATAAGATGGTATACCGTCATCAATCGGAAGCCATGACATATTTCTGGCATTGCCTTGTCTGCCACCGCACCGGAGCGGCACCACTTAGATATGATGATAGTAGCATGGGAAGTGAATATTTTAAATTTTTCAAAAAGTGTACAGACTAATGCTTCTTTCTGAAATGTTAGTTATATTTTAAATAAATTGGATTAGAAAAGGATAAAGCAAACTACGGATATTAGTAAGAAGAGAAAATTTAAAAAAGTTAAATATGTGTATAAATTAAAGAATACAGCAGTGAAGGATTTGTTTTGTGTACATACATACACTAGAAACATAAAAACTTATTATTAAATCGCAACTTTTCAACGATGATGTCACTGTGTGACCATCTGCGAGACAAATAAGTTCACCTCGGTCCCAACTAGCGGCATCTGGTGAGCTTAAGATTATTATTAGTCCTCATTATCACGAAGACGATCTTGTACTTTTGACGCTACTATGTATTATTTAAAATTAAGCTAAAATTAGGCTAAGAACCCGGGCATCGCTGCAACTATACATACAACGACTGAGCTAAATTTAAAATATTGCATTAAGTACCTACCTAGCTAATGAAGCTCGTTTTACAGGACAATCAAAAGAGTGCCTCGCTTCACCGAACTTTTAGTTTTCTACGGTAGCGAATTCGCCAGTTATCTTAACGTCGACTTGAGACTTTATAATTCACCTCCTAAAATACATGGTAACATTTCTTTTATTTCTCTTCATAGTTTTTTTTATTATAGTGTTTAATATTGTATGTATTTTAATGTTATGTAAATAAATGATCCGAAATCAAATATGGCAGAGTTATATATATGTATCTATATGTATATATTACGTGCTTTTTTGCTAAGCCGGTCGTGTAAGGTGTCGTAAGAGACGACTATGGGAGTTCATTTCTGAAGAGTTGGCCTTTATGCGATATAAACACGTTGCAATTATTACGGCAGCAGCACGCACGCTCCACTTGGCCGGCAGAAGACCTCGCTCTCACAAAATACCAACGGGAAATAGCAACATAACCATGTTGTGCCTGTGATTAGTGCCGACAACCGGAAAGTTTTTACTTGTAACGAGCCATTCTATCGTACGTCTAAGGACACTCAGGAGTGACTACGCATCTGCATTTTGATTGTGAGTCCACTAGCTACAGCATCCACTTACTATCAGGAGGACTATGTGCTCGAGTCACTGACTGCTGTCGCGAAAATTTTAACATGCGTGTTTTTCAGTGTTTTTATTTATCTTCCAGTACGTGGTATGTCAATATAAAGCCTAAAGGGGAGCATACCAAGGCATCAAATCTGACGATAATAAATAATATCAAATGTACTGCCAAGTGATTTTGTATTTGTATGTAGAATCACACTGCAGTTGTATTATAGTTGCAGCAGGAATGGGTCGGCTCGACCGGGGAAGGACCACGCTCTCATAATACCAGCGTAAAATAGCAGCTTGATGCTGCTATTTTGTGTTGTGAGTGTAGAGAACCGGAGACCCTTTTTAGTAGTACTGAATATATATAAACCAACGTCTTATATTATATAAGACGTTGGTTTATAATCTATACTGATACATTAAAACTGAGCTAACCATGATTCCCACCATATTTCCACAATAGCACTGCTGGGCAAAACGCATTGCTGGTTGGGTTGCAATCCCAGCCATTGATAATAATAATGTAAAAAATAATGCTGAATTTGTTTATGAATTGCTTCTGAATAATTATGTAAATTATTATATTTTCGCTATTTCTCCCTGCGTTTACTGATAGAGAATGCCATAAGGCATAAACTTCGCCCAGTGTAAACTGCATAAGGTGTCTTACAATAAATTAAATGTTTTAATTCGTGTGTATTTCAGAACCATACATCACACCGACAAATAATTTTTCAAAATCGTCTGAGAGCAAGATTAAATCAAATTCTACTGATTGTAACATAAACGATGTTCGTAAAGGAAACCCCGATTTAGAAAGCCCTACTATTAAATCAAAGCCTAAAGTGAAAAAAGATAATCAACCAATTAATAAAAAAGGAAAGCATCCTGCAAAGATTATGAAAAAGAAAAATTTGAAAGAAAAAAGTGTAAATATACTTACGAAAAAAACATCAGGGGCATCAACAAAATACATTTTTGAATGTGATGGTTGTAACAAAAAATTTTCAACAAAAGACATTCTCGCGAAACACATTTCATACTGTCATAAGACGCAAAAGAAATTAGACACCACTGCAGTTCGGACACAAGTTGAACAAACTCCAGTACCACAACTAACGGAAATATTTAATTGTGATATTTGCGAATTTAAAACATCTCAAAAACGTCGCATTTTGGCACATCTAAAAGCGCACGTCGCAAAACAAGTGTACTGTTGTAATAATTGTGATTATAAATGTATTACAAACAGTAATTTGCAAAATCATATGAAAATACATACTGGAGAAAAACCTTTTTCATGTAATATCTGTGAATATAAATGTATTCAAAAAAGTAGTTTGCAAAAGCATATGAAAATACATACTGGAGAAAAACCTTTTTCGTGTAATATCTGTGTATATAAATGTATTACAAAAAGTGATTTGCAAAGACATATGAAAATACATACTGGAGAAAAACCTTTTTCGTGTCATATCTGTAAATATCAATGTATTCAAAAAAGTAATTTGCAATCACATATGAAAATACATACTGGAGAAAAACCTTTTTCGTGTAATATCTGTGTATATAAATGTATTACAAAAAGTGATTTGCAAAGACATATGAAAATACATACTGGAGAAAAACCTTTTTCGTGTCATATCTGTAAATATCAATGTATTCAAAAAAGTAATTTGCAATCACATATGAAAATACATACTGGAGAAAAACCTTTTTCGTGTCATATCTGTAAATATCAATGTATTCGAAAAAGTAATTTGAAAACACATATGAAAAGACACACTAGAGCAGAACCTTTTTCGTGAGAGATCTGGTAAAATATGTGCAATATTATGTAAACGTGTTTTATATAAATATAAAAGTATACTAGATAAAAATCCATTTGTCATGAGTTCCTTATGTAACTGTAGAACGAGTAGAAAAACCTTTCCGTGCCATATGTGCTAATTGAAACTGCATTTATTCTGAAGAAGCTGATTCAAAAACCAAAGAAGCAACCTAGTGGAATCGAACCTTGAAATATGTACCGAGTGGTTAGTGGAAACAGACCAGACTTCATGTTTTTATTTATTTATATGATACTAGTTTATATTTTACTTTTTTCGTTTCGATGTTTATCGTTACCGTTATAGCCTATAAAAGTCCACTGGTCCACATAGGCCTCCCCCACTGATTGACTCATGGGAGGGATATTTGCCATAGTTGCCATGCATGTTGGGTTGGCAACCGCGGTTTATTATTTTTATTTGTTATTAGGAAGACTCTGCTGCCCACCTTCTGGTTTATTTCCTCCGTCGCCTAGATATAATATAAGAATATCCACTACTCCATATCATCCCGAGTGTGTCATAGAGGCGACAGAGAGAAACAAATCAGGAGCTGGGCAGCAGCGTCTTCCTAATAAAATAAAAAGAAACTGTGTTGCCAACTCGCTTGCCAAGCGTGGCAACTATGGCAAATATCCCCCTATGAGGCAAACTATGGATGAGGCCTATGTTCAGTAGTCGACATTAATAGGCTCTCTAACAATAACGATAAACGTCGAAACGGAAAAAGAAAAACATTATCCATCATTTAAATAAAAAAAAAACAAGGTCTGGTCTGTTTCCACTAACCTCCCATTTGTTTCATGTTTTAAAGTTAATTTTGTTCTTTGTTTTGAATAAGCTTCTTCAGAATAAAAGGAGTTTCAATTAGCACATAAGACACGGAAAAGTTTTTCTACTCGTTCTATTATTCCGTACCAGATGGCTTTTGTAGTCAAGTTATTAATACATTTCATATTTACACTGTAAAATGTCCAGACTGAAATCGGAGTGAAACTGAAACATGAAACTCCTGCCGTGGCAGCTACATTTACATCACTACTTTTGTTTTTTAAATCTTAGGTTTACTTTGATCTTATAGATTATCTTACGCTAATGAAGGGAATGATTTTGTTATTTATTTTAACGTGTGGACATTGTTTTTATATTAGTTTTACCTTGACTTGTACTAAAAAACTTTACAGTTTAAGTACTGTAAGGCAGTTTTCTTGCAGAGGTTTTTTTTTAGTTGGGTGTTGTTGTAAAGTAAAATGTATCTTCACGATTGTTTGCACTTTTTGTTATATGGAAATAACTTTTTGTTAAATTCTGTATAAGTCAAAGACTTCTTTGTATACTACTCGAGCGGCAATTCAGAATAAAAACCGTGTGACAGTGGATCGCGGGTAGCCGGCACGGTAAATATGGCACGCGGTTATATTTTCATTTACGACAGTTACTGCTTTTAGGCAAATATCACGTTGACAAACTGCGCACATAAATAATGGCAGCGTTTTCTTAGTCACATTAAACAAAATCAGTGTTAGATTGTCGAAAACAACGATCGCGGTTTACAAAACAAAGAACTAGTCTTCTCAGCCGCTCGCAGTCGACTAAAGGAGTTACGGAGAATTGACCGTAGCTCAGTGCGCAATGTATTAAGGCCGCAGAGCTCAACTCGCAGTATACATAGAAGTCTTTAATATTAGTAATATGTTGCTATGTCGTTAATTTTTTAATAATTGTTGTTTTGATTTATACACCTTTAGATTATTTTGTCTTTATAGCTATTAGTGTTTTAAAATTTTTAAAGATATAAATTTTGATGACGAGTTCAATTACATTCTGTTATTTATTTAAATTTTATGTTATCGTTTCCAATTGCTCTTTTGATTTCCTTTTTTGTTGATAAACTTATTGTAAGGGAATATTATAATTAAAACATTATAGTTTGTTAAACCATATTATTTTGTTTTTTATTTTATATTGCTACACCTACGTCAAATTCTCACCACTCCATGAGTCGACTGGTAGAGAATGGCGCGAGGCATTAAGTCCGCCCTTTGTATTCTTTTGTTTTAGGGATTCAATAAATAATAAATAAATAAAATAGCGAACAAACACACATCTGTTATTGAATGCTAGTGGCACGCCCAGGCTTCGCTTCGGTGTTGCCATTTATTTCATCATCGAGATTTAAGATTTCACAATAAAATGACCAAGCTTTGCGGATATAGCCTACATCGCTCCAGACATATATCTGTTTGTGAAGTTTCATTTCAGCCCATGAAGCTCTTCCAATGACCAGCCCGGACAGACAGACTTGCAAACAAACATTTCTAAAATATTTATCCATGTCTTAATCGTATGGAAATAACTCGCTCGGTAGCAAAGCTTCCATACAAGCCGAGAAGGCCGGCTTGCCCTATTAATAATATCAACTAATAAAATAACTCTGTAAACTGTTTCAAAGCCCTCCTCTGTTCTACACAGGTCGTGACCTCTTAGCCTTATGTAACGTCAACACTTGGCAGATTGCTTTACTGCGCGATATTGCTGTCATAAAAAAGGAGTTTTTTATGACAGCAATACGACTCTCGCACGCGTGGGCTTTTTACCGGGCTTTCGAGAAGACGATCGCTCCCTTTCTAACCTGTGGCAAAATGTTCTATAATGAAATATACGAGTAACTACGATTGTTTATATAGCAATCAGTATGGAGATCAAAAACCAGGCTTTCAGTGTGAAGTTGTCGAGCGTGGGGGCGTGCGTTTGCAAAGTTCACTTCACATTCCAATTTCCATGTATATCGAACATTCCGAATAGCTTGTGAGGTATTACTATTGTAAATCTGCCCTTTTTAATTGTAATATTTTTTAATTTAATAAATTGACTCTACTATCGAGACAGTATAATTTGGCTGCGGGACAACAACCACTAAAATTTCATCATATATATACGAATTGATCAAGCTTAAAAATCAGTGTACATACATATTGATAACCTTTCTTTTTGGGAGTCGGTTAAAATAGGCTATGTTTTGGTCTAACGTAACATCTGGTTAATGTTTGGGTGTAAAGTAACATCTGGTTAGTACAGGCGTTCTTGTTAATAATCTCATGATGTTGTAAATAAAAAAGGTTTTATTCTATACTCTAAAACGTAACCTTAGTCAATAAAAAACAATTAAAATAAAATAGTTGCGCTAAAATGGCGTCGACGAATCGCGATTAGCTGATCACTCCGTATTAGTTTTAAATAGGCGCCTATAGTTAATATAATGTTAATGAAATGTAATACCATCACTTCTTTTATGTTTATCATCACAGTTGTGACAATATTTTACAACACAAACGGTAATTATTACAATTTTTCGCGAGCTCTTCTCCGTAAGACGTGACGTTGCGCACTATTACTCTACTCTATGTTGCGCACTGACGCGTCGCTGAGTCAACTTGCGCGGTTTCGCGTTAGTTAGTTAGTTTTACTTGTTTCACTTTCGGTGCGCGTACTAGTATTCTATGCGTAATAATTCTATGAATATCACATTTTATATCCAGTCTATGCAACAAAACTTCAAAGCCGGTTATATTCCGATTTATGCTTCTCATATTTTGTGTAAGTAAAATTAACTTATTTTCAGGACGTGGGAGGAAGTGTTTACAGTCATCAACATTACATGTTTTAGCGTCAGACACAGAAAAGTTGTGTAGGTCATAGAGTAATTGATTCGCCATAGTTAAGCTTAAAGAAAAACTAAAACTAGTGTTTAAGAGCTGAGTAAATAATATAATACGCGGCGCTCTTAGGCGCCCTCATAGTCTATGGAGTTGATATATTTGTCCTCTGCGAATTTACGTGCTGGACAGCATTCATCACCAGTTTTGTGGTCGTATTTTCTTTTAAAACGTTTACACGTGCGCTTTGTTATTCAAGTAGTTACATGTAGGGCTACTTTCCCGACAAAATTTGGCTGAATGACCAAACTGCTGGCAGTTGAAGCATCTTGTTACTATTGTAAAGTCTCTGACTGGGCATGAGGTCCAATTAATATATATTCGTCCTTGATTGATAAAGGCCTTCCCGATGCTAGGTGGCACTTCGACAATGTAATTACAGGTAGGATGGTTTTTCTTACCTGATTTATGGCTCAGTTTGACTGTTGCCAGGAAGGACTCACGCGTGGCATTGGGAAATTTATCGGCAATATTTTGTTCGAAAATGCACTCGAACACTTCTTTATCCGTGAGGGCTACAGGGACACCAACAATTGCAATCCTTGGACGTCGTTTAGTCGGCTCTTCCATGGTAAGGCCAGAAGATACAAGCTTCTCGGAGTTCTTTAATTTGTCGATATCGCCTTTTGTCTCAGCGCTAATTATAACTCCCCCATTTTTGACCTTCCTCATGCCCCGGACATGTAGTTTGAGTTCTTCTGGGGATATTATTTTTTGTAAGAGGCACTTCGTGTCATCACTGGATTTGGACTTGTCCCTCGGATAAATTGCTAGGGTACTAAGGTTGTTTGGGCGAATGAGGGTTTGGCCACCTTTTTTGACCATGTCCGCAAAAGTGGTTCCAGAGTCCGGTTTTGATGACTCTTCGATACTGTTCTTGAGTTCCTGCAGCTTTTGGGACAGGTCAAGTTGGTTCTACAGAGATACGATGGAGGTCTGGGCTTTAGTGGCATCCATTTTCAGGGACATGTACTGGACTACCAATTGTGATGTACCGTGGCTTATTTTTCGACAAAGCGAGCTGATGCGCATTTTTCACGGATAAAGAAGTGTTCGAGTGCATTTTCGAACAAAATATTGCCGATAAATTTCCCAATGCCACGCGTGAGTCCTTCCTGGCAACAGTCAAACTGAGCCATAAATCAGGTAAGAAAAACCATCCTACCTGTAATTACATTGTCGAAGTGCCACCTAGCATCAGGAAGGCCCTTATCAATCAAGGACGAATATATATTAATTGGACCTCATGCCCAGTCAGAGACT